TGTGTGTTTTCAGGTGTTTGTATTTGGCGGACTAAAGAGTCTTATGTGCACTACTAATTTGCATATAGATTCATTGGGAGAAATGCTGGCGTCAGAAGTTTTTCAAGGGAAAGTATTAGTCTCGAGTGGAATTTTAACTCAGTCTTTCGCGTCAATAAACATTAGGATAATTACATCTTACACACACACACACAGACATATAGGACGAAACGGCTGCCTACTGTATTCTGTTGAGGTTTCTTCTAGACTCGATGAATTACTTAATTATAATATATATATATATATATATATATATATGTGTGTGTGTGTGTGTGTGTGTGTGTATGTGTGTGTAATTATATATAAAATTTAAAATAACTGGAGCTGTAAACTCACTAGTCGGTCTCACTGAAGTAACCTCTTAGTTAACACGATGTTAGAAAATATACGCAGGTGAAAGGTGAGAGATTCAGAAAGAAAACTGAAAGACAAGACAATGACGGAAATGAAGAATAAATCAATATCAATTGTAAGAAGAGAGAAATCATTGTTGTCCGCAAAAGAGATACTCTAAATTATGAACTACATACTGGGGATGTCAAAATGAATCAGGTACAAAGATTTTAGCTGACGACTGTACTAATGGACAACGAGAAGCGTTACACAGAACGACCCTAAGGAATAGCTAAAGTAGCATTTGGGATGTAAGTCAAGTATTGAGATATATTGGGATGTTCTTGGAAGCAGATAACAAAGTGTGGAAATGTTATTATCATCTCTCCAATATGACAGTAAATGTTGGCTAATCTAGTCACAGATGAAGAGGAGGCTTGCAGTCACAAAGATAAGGTTTTACCCGACTAGTGCTTAGAATACCATGGATAAAACGTGAATAGTTAAGGAGATTTTAAGGAATATGGAAACTAAAAGGATCTTTATACTAACAACCAGAAAAATGCTTGAAATTTAGGGATCACGTCATGTCGAATGATAGTCGATAATATAAAGAACAAAGAGTGATGTTAGATTTTTGAAAAATAATTTAGAGTAACGAAATTCAGAATATTGTGAAGAGCAATGATCTTGATAGTATATGATACATAAATGAAGAATATGCGCCCGATAATAGTATTTCTATTACTACTAGTAGATATAAACAGAAGAATGGATTCTAGGAAAACATTGATAGAAAATATAGCAAGACGATATAATGCCAAGTTTTCATGTGGTTATTCCAACATAATTTAATGAGTATCATATCGAGGAAAGTTTCTATCCAAACTCAAAGCGTCTTTGTTTTGAATATCTGCAATGATATTAGTTTTATCTAGTTTAATTATACTCTTTTATTGTTTACTCTTATCGTCTGTTCTATGTAATACATCGTACACTGAGTATTTTAAGAATCCCTGTTGTGAGTACAAAAATGGATTATCTAACAAATGGTTTGTTCATTGCTCCGACCACGTTATTATTCGGTCACTTTCAAGTTTTTATGTTCTTTCTACAATAAAATTGTTATTTTTTATTACTTGCATAAAGTATATATTGGTTTGTTCAAGTGCTTTTCACTACTATAGTCATTTTCGTTGACTAATATGGAGTTTGTGTCGTAGTTAAAAATTCTTTTAATATATCACATGCACTTCAATATACCGTCTCCTGTGGTAAATTATATTTTATGTAATCTGGGCTGTTTATTTTGTATAATATCTAATCATCTCGGGTATGACGATAAACTACATCCGGCAGCAAGACCTCTAATTGGAGGTTTTGAGGAACGTGGACCCATCTCTTAATTGTTGTTGCACCTGGGCCCAACATGAACCTGGATGGTATCACCTGTTAGGGTCCTAATTAATCTTCAAACCGATGTCAAAACACCAGGAATATACATTTGGGTGAAGAAATATTACTAGCTAAACATTTTTGGGAAAAAGAAATATTACCAACACTGCAGTTTTAGAAAAATATATTACCAGAAGTATATTTTTTGGGAAAATATATTATCAGCAATACATTCTTGAAAATAGAATTATTAATGCCCCCACGAATATCAAATTTTGGAATTAAATGCTGTTAAACAAAATTCTACATTGACTGTGTGTCTTCGTTTCTGGGTTCACACGTTTTTCAAAAGGTTTGTTTTCAGGAGTTGATATTACATCATCTCCTTTGTTGCACCGTCTCGTCACTGCTCGTAAACATTCATTCTCAAACTTCTCCCATACATTCTCCTTCTTTATGTGCAACTCGACCCACGCAGAAATTTTGATTACTGGTTTTCCTCTCTTGTCTTTTGATGGCGTCAGCGACGATTGTGAATAGCTTTTGTTGCTACTGTCTCTGGACCCCATTGTGAACTTGAATAGCAAGTAGTAGGTTACTACATTGTGCTGTACTTTGCAAATTCGTGAAGTCGATCTAGCCTCTTCTATCACGCTGTCGTGTCTCGTGCATAAAGTTTTGAATATGTAGTAGCATCGATCATCTGCTAACTAGACGATTGTTACACCGGAAA